CAGGCTCCCTGCGGAGCAGGGAGCCCAGGACTCTGGGATCATGACCTGAGCCAAAGGCAGATGCTTAACAACTGAGCCACCCAGGCGCCCCCAGATGATATTTCTAGTGAATGTTAATTTTAACACCCTGAGGATTTTTGTTGCTTGAATATAGAGAAATGCTGACTTCTGTCTTTAAATTTTGGTGTGCTTTCCTGAGGACCCCTGTGTATTTTTCATTTACATCTCCATTTTTCGTTACCTCCCTCTGAGAAATCGTGTTTCTTTATAGCTCTGTACCATTCTTAAATATGTAGACATGAATTTATCAAACTATGGCATACTGTGAAAATAAACTGATGAAACTCATAAAAGTAGAGGTTATAACTCCTGTTAGTACACTCTTCCATTTTGGGCAGCCACCTCTAAAACATTTTTGGCGTAGAATAGAGGAATGACATGAGTAAATAAAAGGGAAAAATAAAGTGTTTTTGCCTAGCTCTACATAAATTTATTTATATACAAATTTAATGTTCAGACTATGTTATATAGTCACATTGTACAAAATTTTAAAAATATTTGAGAAACGCTTGCTCCTATTCCTGTTCACCATCTGCCTAGTTTCTCAACAACTTTCCTGCTGGTGATACAGTTGCTGTTATTACTTATTTGCATATCCTTCTAGGGTTTTCTTCTTCCATACAAATACATATGAATAAAGTAATATTTTCTCCTAATTTTTATATGGATGGGTGAATATTATACATACTCTTTTGCATCTTAATTTTTCTACTGAACAATTTATTACCAGTATAAAGCTCTCTTAATTTATGTAGTCACCTGTGGATAGACTTTCTAATCTGCTTTTATGACTAATGCTTGTATACATGTCGTACGTACATACGTCTGTAGGATTATTAATCCCAGGGGCGGAACTATTGGGTCAAAGTTTATAGTTAATTTGATAGATATTCCCAAATTGTTTTCCCTGGCGGTTGTACCAATTTATATTTCTAGTACAATGAATGAAAAACTTATTCTCCATATCCATTGGTAATCCAGTAGGTGATAATTGGTATCTCAGAGCAGTTATTTTGCATTTCTCTTACTATGAGTGAAGCTGAGCATCTTATATTTTTAAAAGCAATTTGTATTTTTCTCTTTCTGGCCTGTTAATATGTTTTTTCTCTTTGGTTGTTGATCATTTTCTTTTTGATTTGTTGGAGCTTTCATAGGCGCCCCTCATTCATTAGGCTTTTGTGATATGAATTAGGCTAGTTTTTTTTTGCCCAATTGTTTAGTCTTTGCTTATGGGGCTTTTTTACCATGCAGAAGTCTTTGATTTTTTATTTAGGTGAGTTGATTAATCTTGTCTTTCATGGATTCTGTATTTTGAACCATTAGTTAGAAAGGCCTTCCCTACTCCAAAGTTAATAAAGGAATTCTTTCACATTTTCCTCTAGTATCTTTATGGTTTCTTTTTTTTTTTTTTACAGTTTAATCTTTGATACATTTGGAATGTATCCAGGTAATACAGTGTGAGGTATGGATCCAACTTTATTTTTTCCTAGATGCTAAAATGCTACCATTTGTCCCATCACCATTTATTGAACAGTTCATCTTTTCTTCACTGATTTGAAATGCCATCTCTGTTAGAGTCTAAATTTGATGTGTATTTAAAACATTCGACAAATCTGTGTTCCAAAATTGATTTGTAAATTATTTTGGAACCTGGAATGCATTTTCCTATCAGAATGCTAATTATATTTCTGGAGTAGTTAACAAAAGCCCACAGTGTACCTCATGGTACAATATTGATAATGACTATTCTTTTTTTTTTTCATAATAACTATTCTTTAATATCTAACACCCCTTTTTTATGCTGGGAAATATGTTACAGGTTTTAGTTTAGGTTTTTTCTTGGCAATAGGATGAGGAGTTTCTCAATGCACCTTCTAATTTTCTCAATCTCATCTGCTGTATATAGTTCTCAGTTGTTAAAGGTAAGTAGATACTTAAGCTTAACATAGTTCGGTGTGTGAAAAGTGGGGTTGATGTATTACAGGCAGAAGGAGAAGCAAATGATAAAAGACACAAATATATCAAAGAATTGAAAATGATTTGGAATTAGACTGTAAAGTTTGAATAGCAGGCCTTCTGAGAGGTGCAACTAATGATACAGGCAAAGTTGTCATTCCTTCCCCTCTCCCCTACTCATCTCCTTCCTGTCCCTTCCTTCTCCCCCTCCCCTCACCCCTCCCCTATTCTGTACTAAGAACTTGATCCTGTTGATTGTGGGGAGCCACTGAAGCTGAGGAATAACGTGAGATTTCTATTTTAGAAAGGTCACTCTCTGACAGCATTGTGGTGAATGGATTGGAAGGATCTGAGACCAGACAAGCTATAAAAAAGAACAGTAGAGCTGGATCATAAGTGCATTTAACATACTTGAAATCAGCTATATAGCCTGGAGGGTGGGGGTGGGAGGAGATAAGAAAAAAATAAATTGTAGAGGTAATTCAGTTTGCCATTTTACTCACTGAGCCTGCGTTCTAGGCAAACCTATATGGAAATCCCTGTGAATGATTATAGGGCTTTCCCCAACCATCACTGACAAAGATGTGAAATATATTATTGAGGGGGTCAGGCAAGAGGTGGTGATGTTGCTTACATTCTTTTGTTTTTTTAAAACTAAAAAAAATTTTAATTTTGGTATAGTTAACAGTCACAGTTATATTAGCTTCAGGTGTACAATATAGTGATTTCAGCAATTCTATATATTACTCAGTTCTCAAGATAAGTGTTACTCTTCATCCCCTTCACCTATTTCACACCAACCCTACCATCAGTTTGTGCTCTATATTTAGAGTCTGTTTTTTGGTTTGTCTCTTTTTTTCTTTGTTCATTTGCTTTTTCTTAAATTCCAAATATGAATGAAATAATATGGTATTTGTCTTTTTTTGACTGACTTATTTTACTAAGCATTATAATAACTCTGGATCCATATATGTTTTGCAGGTGTCAAGCTTTCATTCCTTTTAATGGCTGGATAGTATTCCTCTGTGTGTGTGTGTGTGTGTGTAATATATATTTTTTAAGTTTACTTATTTTAAGTAATCTCTACACCCAGTGTGAGGCTTGAACTCATGACCCCAAGATCAAGAGTTGCATGCTTTTCTGACCAAGCCAGCAGGTGCCCCCACATCTTTATCCATTCATCTGTTGGTGGACACTTGGGCAGCTTCCATAAGTTGGCTATTATAAATAATGCTGCAGTAAATATAGGGGTGCATATATCTTTTCAAATTAGTATTTTTTGTAATCCAGTAGTGTGATTACTGGATCATATGGCAGTTCTGTTTCTAATTTTTTGTGGAACTTCTATACTGTTTTCCACAGTGGCTGTACCAGTTTGCATTTTCACCAACAGTGCACAAGAGTTCCTTTTTTTTTCACATCCTCACCAACACTTGTTTCTTGTGTTTTTTATTTTAACCATTCTGACATGTGTGAGGTGATATGTCATTGTGGTTTTGATTTGTATTTCCCTGATGATGAGTGATGTTGATCATCTTTTCATGCATCTGTTGGCCATCTGTATGTCTTCTTTGGAGGAATGTCTGTCCATGTCTTCTGCCCATTTTTAATTGGATTATTTGATACTTACATTCTTGAAGAAATTTCAGAATGAATTGAGGCCATTGATAGATACAGAAAAATGAGAAGAACTTACAAAATCTGACAGGGTTATATATTCAAAATTGGAATCTTAAGGGATTTTTCCAAGACAGTTTTGATTATGCTAATTTTTTGCTTTAGAATCTAAACTGTACAAAGATGAGACTCTGCTTTATTGCAGTAAGTTTAAGGGAGAGATTGATGAGGGAAAGGTTGAAGACAGCAGTAGTAGGAGGGTAAAAATGAGGGAATGGACATCAGAGATACTAAGTGGTAAAATTTTGCAGGTATATTTTTAAAAATATACCTATTTTATTATGGGAAACTTTGAGCATACATAAAAGTAGAGAGAATCCCTGGGTACCTAGCTTCAACAGTGATCAAGTGATGGCTAGTCTTGTTTCATCTAAACCCTTCCCTATGCCATCCTGATTATTTTGAATTTTGTGAGTATCACTAACCTGTGGATATTTTAAAAATACATGATATATTATCACACATAAAAAAAATTGACAAGAATTTTCTTAAAGCCATCAGCTGTTCAGTCATTGTTCAGATTTTCCTGATTGTCTCCCTAAATGTTTTCTTTTTATATTATATTTGAATGCATCAATGTCTAAATAAGGTCCATAAGCTGGATGTATAAGGTGCATACACTGTAATTGCTTGATATGTCTCTTAGGTTTCTTTGTACCCCCTCCCCTCCATTCCCTTGTCACTTTACTTATGGAAAAACCTGGGACATTTGCCCTGTATAGTTTCCCACAGTACATTTTATTGATTGCTTCTCAGATGGGTGTGTGTGTGTGTGTGTGTGTGTGTGTGTGTGTGTGAGAACATGTTACTTTGTTCCATATTTTCTGTACATTAGTAATTAGATGTATTCAGAGGCTTGATCATATTCAGTTTATTGTGGGTTGATCATATTCAGTCGTTAAGCATCTGCCTTTGGCTCGGGTCGTGATCCCAGGGTCCTGGGGTCGAGCCCCGCATCGGGCTCCCTGCTGGGTGGGGAGCCTGCTTATCCCTCTCCCACTCCCCCTGCTTGTGTTCCCTCTCTCTCTGTGTCTCTCTCTGTCAAATAAACGAATAAAAAAAAAAAATACTTCGTAGTGTTGTATACTTCCTTTATGAGGCATATGATATTTGGTTATCCTCTTTTTTGTGATATTAGCAGCTGCTGACCAGTATCTGGACCATTATTTTATTCAATAGAGGTTGAATAAATTGTGATATTCTGTTATTAGGAGCAGGAATGTTTCTATACAGAGAGCCGATTCCTTATCAGCTATTTCATTACCCTGAAGTGCAGTTTGTGAAGGAAGGACAGGATATTTTATTCTTTTTTCTTAAAATTGAGGTAAAATTCGTATAGCATAACATTAACCAACTTAAGATAAACAGTTTAGTGACATTTACTACTTTCACAGTGTTGTGCAACTACCACCTCTGTCAGTTTCGAAAACATTTTTATCACCTTAAAAGAAAGTATGCTTTCATAAGCAGAAACTGTACATTCTGCCTTCTACCCTTCCTTCCCTAGCCCTTGGCAAGCACCAATCTGCTTTTTGTCTCTATGGATTTACTTATTCTGTACATTTTACATAACTATCATAATCACACAATGTATAACCTTTTGAGTCTCGCTTCTATCTTGGCATAATGTTTTTCAGGTTCATCAGTGTTGCAGCCTGTATTAGTACTTCAGTCCTCTTTATGGCTGAATAATAACTCGTGTGTGTGTGTTTGAGAGAGAGAGAGATTGTTTACATTATGTTGGTCCTTTCACTTTTTGGACATTTGTGTTGTTTCTACCTTTTGATTGTTGTGAATAGTGCTGCTATGAACATGGTTGTACAAGTATCTGTTTTATCTTTATCTCTTTTCTGTTTTGGGGGAGATATACTAGGAGTGGCATTGATGGGGTCAGAGAGTGATTCTGTGTTTAACTTTCTGCGGAACCACCAAACTTTTTCATAGTGGCTGCACCGTTTTTATATTCCCATAAGCAATGTATAAAAGATCCAATTCCTTTTCATTCTCACCAAGATTTCTTTTCAAGTTGGCTTCTCTGTCTGCCTCCTTTTTTATTCTTTTTTAAAGAAAGAGAGTGCACACGTGGGTGAGGGGCAGAGAGAGCCCAGCGGGGAGCCCAACTCAGGGCTTGGTGTCATGACCTGAGCCAAAATCAAGAGTTGGACACTTAACTGACTGAGCCACCCAGGCACCCCCCCAATTTTTTTTTTTTTTTACAAAGTACTAGAGAGAGTGCATAACTGCATACAGTGTAATCATCGATACTGGGTGATTAGCAAAAATTCCTTCAAGTGGAATTGCTGGGTCAGAGGATTTTGCCAAATCCTCCTCTGTTGAGATCGTAGTAATTCACACTTTATTCACAATACATGAGAAGAACCTGTTCTTATCATACTTACCTCAGCAGTTATACAACCATCTGCGTGGGTTTCAATTTTGTAGTATTCATCAAACTCACCTCATAATTGGCTTATCCAACACCAAATATACTTAATAAAGGAAAAGTATATACAGTTGCAGTAATACAGAGACTTCCAAACTCTGATGCAAGTCTTAATGTCGTCATTGTTTTGGTTTTAAGGTTGACAAGAAGCTAATGTGAGTGCAGGTCACATTAGCATGGGGAAGCCACCAGATTTGGTTACCCTCAGCTTAAAAATGCCTACTAGTTGGGGCGCCTGGGGGGCTCAGTTTAGTTAAGCATCTGCATTCGGCTCGGGTCATGATCCTGGGGTCCTGGGATTGAGGCCCGCATTGGGCTCTCTGCTCAGCGGGAAGCCTGCTTCTCCCTCTCCCACTCCCCCTGCTTGTGTTTCCTCTCTCACTGTG